CAAGCACTGCATATAAAGAACAAAAAGATAACCTTTACCCCCAAAGAAACATCAGGGAGCAAAGTGGAGAGTACAGAGATAACACAAATGCATCCAAAGCATGGTGAAACAGGAGGCAAAACCAGGGTAGCCCACCTTTAAACAACTGCACCTTAAAACACCATGCAGAACTTTAACAAATTGCTCCAGAAAGCAGCAGTGGCCAGGAAAAAAAGATGCTGGAAGGCACGATGACACTCAGCTAGAAGTGTTTCTTGCCTACACTTCACGCTGTGCTAAAGCAGAAGTATATATTGCTGAAGTACGTCTGGCAACTCATGTTTGCCTAAGCTGGCTCAGAATTTTTTCCTGCCTTGCAAACTGATCTCAGCAGATCCAAAAAATTAAAATAAACCTTAAAAAAAAAAAATCACTGAAAACTCAAAAAATTTAATACACCTCCTGTTCTGAACAAGACAGCTTTGTGCCAATTTACTCTAACCTCCAACATACACTATAATTAATGAAAGTACTGCAGTAAGAAATTAACAGTTGAAAAGCTAAGTGTAAGAATGGCCATTTATACACTCACACACAGATCACACCATGTGTGCTGGTGCAAAAAAATGAACCACCTGTAAAGTAACAGGTACACTTAGTATTATATGCTAGAAGTATTCCCAGCCTTGTACCTGCAAGACCCTGAGCAAAACGTTTAACCTCACATTTCCAACTTGAAAACAAGGATATCAATCTGTTTCACTCAGGTAACTGCAAGAAACAACTGTAATGCTGACTGGCCACTGTATGATGAAAAATGCCAAGTAAATGCCAAGCATATACCCCGACTCAGTTGGGCATTCAAGATTCCAGCATGAACTAATAAATTGTGAGTTTTTTAAGTATTTAAAGCAAAAAGGGGGTGGAGGGGTGTAAAAAAGGCAATTTCAAGAGGTAATACTAGCACTGAGCCAAGTCCCTCACCATGGAGCCTTTGCTGATGACTATCTTCCGTATCAAGTGATCATCTGCCCAGCACTGCCAGTTTGCCCAGCTCCCAAGGGACAGAGTGCTTACTATGGCTTGAATTTGTTATTGCCTGCTAATCCCTGGTGGTGCTAATTACACTCTTTATCAGTTTGTCTGATTGTGCCTGATGCATGTCCAATATCAAAATGTGCAGTACCCTAGGATGTCAAGTCCCTATCAGATTTGCAAGGGAAGGGGACGCTTCATAGTGTGATGTTTCAATACAGCAGGTTTATACATTTATGTGAGATAAACAATGGATTTTCAAGGACTCCAGAACACAGTCTCTATAGCAACTATACGCAGAACTAGGGGGATGGAGGGTGAGGGAGGGGAAGTTCCCACATTTCTAAATTTGAAGTTCATTTTCCAGGGACTACTTACACCAGGAATTGCAGGTTAAATGTATTGCCTAGGTTCATACATGGATGCAAACACGGTCTAGTTCTAGGCACACCACTCTCCTCTAGTTTTAAGAAATCTGCTTAGGCGTATTTGATAAGACTGCAGAAATGGTTGCCTTAATATTCAGCTAAGAAGAACTGTACAGAGATTACATATATGCTTGTACATACATAACTAAAAAGATGCTACGGCCAGCCAAGATTTGGAGAGCCACAGGGAAACCATGATCCTTCCTAAAGGGAACACTTGGCCCTAAGCGCAGCTCAGCAACACTCCAGATGAAAGCTGCGAGCTCATCTCGACATGCCTGACTGCATCAGGCTGAACCTTAATCACTTTAAGTCAGATCCTACCACTGTTTTAATTTTATTTCCATTGCTTTTCAAATTAAACTATTAAAAGGGAAAACAAGAATAACCTAATTATGATGGATTGAGAGGTCCAGCTCAATGTCAAACAGAGCCACTATAACTGATCCAACCACATCCAGCTTCTCCCACTGAGAGCCAGACCTCAAAGGAGTCATTACATGCTCATAGCAAAAAGCATATTATGTATCATTTTCTGTTATCATCAACAAAATTTGGATAAGACAAAGCAAATAACGTTGAAGCAGCAAAGTGATAGTGCTGAATAAACGCTATTATCCTTTCTCCAATGCAGGTGATTCTACCTTGGTATCTTAACAAAGAAGAAAAGCAAAGAAGAAAATGGTGAAAGAGCCCATGTTTTAATTTGTCACCTCTAAACCAAGGAGAGCTCTTCTACTGACGAGCATCATGAGAGCATCAGCAGGCTGGCAGCCTTCGAAAGAACAACATGGGTTTTTTTTCCCCTTAGGAGGCAGCAGCAGATACCATTTTCATTAGTTCTCTGTCAACTTCCTTGCTAGTTCCTGACCTACAGAGCAGGACTTTAAAGCTTTCATGGTATTCCATCACAAAATGGAGTTTTTCCATTTCAGGAGCACTTTGTGACTTGTTACGAAGGTGTCTGTTGTAAAGAGATGACATTTGTCTTATCGGCATGAAGAACTGCATGGCTGAGGTGTAAAGGAAAATTATCTATTTGCCCAACAGTCACCTTCTACTTTATAGCTACATCATTACCTCCACATCCAGCCACTAAAAATTCTGATCAGATATGTATCCACTACACAAACCCATACTGGCACATATACAACTAATGGTTGGTAATACAACTAATGGCTGGTATATCCTGTGAGGAACCTCTCCAGACAGTTTGCTCCTCCGAGGACCATCAGTGCCAGACTTGGCATCAGAGAATCCTCCAGCGCAAAGCCAGACCTGCTGCCAGTGGGACCTCTTGGGCTCATCACTGCTACATCGAGAAGCCAAATAATTCTAGGGTTACCCTGGCATTTTACGTGCCTAAAGCTATCATCTAAAAACACCTGCAAAGTCATGTACTGAACAATTATAACCTCAAAAAGAAACAAATAATACGTTTTTAGTATACTCACATAAGGAAAAAGTAGAACAAAGCAATCCTACTAGCAAATAGAAAGAAAGGGCCCAGTAACCGATTCCCAACTATACTGGTATATTCAACACATCCAGAATAATCAACTTTCAGTGCTAGCTTTCCTGAGTCACTTCAGCTAACCTAAATCTTTTTGCCTTAGTTTTGACTTGGCATTCACCCCAGCTACACCACCGCCACCACCTGCATTTGTGCATATCATGACAAAAAAAATACCAGTTCGTGTCCTGTCAGCTTAAAGCCACTGACAATCTGACTTTTCACATGTGGCAATATAACCAGGGTGACTGTAAACTGAAGCTGTAAGCAGTTTCTAATCAGACTAATTTCAGAGTAAACAACCAGAATATAAGCAGACCAAAAATATTAGGTGGGGGAGACTACAGGGAAAGAGCTAGAAGAGAACACTGACATTTAATTCTTGTTCATATGCCCTGTAAAGGCTTAAACTGGGGCACTTCAAATCCTCAGTGAGTTTCTGTTCCAACACATCCTGAAAGAAGGACTGAGATTATCACAAAAGCCTCAGTAAAACACAATCAAAACAAACAAACCCATACTTTAAAAGTCAAGTGAAAATCTGCCTGTGAGTTTGCCTGAAAGGACATTCCTAGCCCTGGGAGTGGTGCGCTGATGACCTCACCAAGCTGCAAACTCAGGCCAGGAAGTGTTTTGCTCATGTCTTCAAAATAGGAAGCTGGCATCCAAGTTATGGTCCTCGGAATCGATAATCAAATTAAAACCAATAACATAAATTCTCTTAACGATCAAAACGCAACGCTGTGCTTTAATGAGCCATTTTATGAAGCCGTCATTAAAGTCTAATATTAAACTTGAACATGATGCATGGAACAGTTACTGAGGGCAGATCTCTCCGCATCCTTTGCTGCATCACTCAGGAAAGCTGATATTTTACCCTTCTGTGCATTCCTTCTCATTGCCATTAAACTGAATCTCTGCCTTTTGCTTGGAGTGAATCCCAGAAGTGACAGATGCAATAAGCATGAAGATTTAACTTGAAAAAGTCCAATGATGTCTGAAAAGGCAGCTCACTAGAAGACAGAGTAATGCCAACACAGAGACACACAAATGCTGATTAAAGCAATCTGTATAAAAGGCTACAAGTGCCCACTGAAAAATTACTATTATTAAGTGCTATATTAAAACAAACACAAAGCAAATGCTCCCTGACATGTACCCGAGTGTGCCAGGTCTTACTATGGCTACTGAAAATACTAAAAACATATATACCCAAAATAAATATGCATTAACTTGATTGCAACACTATCTGATCTTCTACCTTTGTGTACACAGCCTTTAACAAACATGAATATTAGCTGCAATAAAATGTCTCAGTGAGTGCACAGCCATCTGTTTTTTCCCCTTGAGCAGAAAAGATGATTCAATGCTTGTTATTCAAATGAAAATCGCATATATCCTCTCCTGCTTCACGCACAAGATACCCGCTGTTTTCTCTAGCCATCACATGTTCAGCACATACGAACACGCTTCTGACAGGATGGACTGTGCCAGTTCACACCATTTTCCCACACTTCCAGCAGGCACAGAGCTTCTCTCCTGCATGTGCTTAGAGGCGCACACGAGGAGAAAGGATAGTGGCAAGTAGTTTGGATACAGCCTAGCCTAAAATTAAACCAGAATCGGTATCGGCAAACTGAAAAAATCAGCCACAGCCTAGTATATTCAAAACGTCACTCTTTCATTTTGCTAACATCCTTGGTCTTGCTTACACTAATCCACACACACATCTGCGTGAATAGGCTGAATAGACATGCTCAAACAAACGTGTACAGGACTGAAACTACAGCTATTAAAAAAACCACGATGCTAATGCGTATCAGTTATCTTTAACAATAAAACTGCATCAATCAGTTTTACTTTTGTTTCCAGTCAGCTTTCAGTCCTTTTTTTTTTTTTCAGACCTGTCTCCTGTGCAGTCACAGCATCACATTGTCTAGCCGGGGTACTACAGCTGAACATTTGTGCGGTTGCATGTCGGGTGTCTTTCCCTGTATCCTGAGTGGAGAGGCAGCTAATCTGACAAAGCACGGGTAAGTACTAACCTTTAAATTCTGGCCTTTGAGACACTGCTGTTAAAACAATGTGGCTTTCTGCATAAAAAACCAAAGCCCAAGAACATGTCATACGACCCAGGACTTTACACGTCTCCCGAGCAGACTCAGAAGAGCCATTAATAACGGCGTGACATGCACCGTAAAAAAAAACAAAACAAAAAACCAACAACCAACTAAACCCTCCAGTCATCTTTTGTCCTCTGCAACATTACAGGGTGGCAGCGGGGACGCGGGGGCGGGGGGACACGCAGGCACCCGGTGCCATCGAGCTGCTGCTGCATCGCCATAAGAAAAAAAAAAAAAAAGGAAAAAAACCTGCCGAACAAAAGAAAAAACACCCCCCCGCCCGTCCCCTCCTCGCAGAAGGCGGCCG